AGTAATGAGACCTGCCCACTCCTCACTGTCCAGATCTGCCTAATGCTCATTGGTGGTTAGTGGCTCAGTAATGAGATCCGCCCCCTCCTCACTGCCTCTTGCTCACTGGTGGTTAGTGGCTCATTATTCAGATCCGCCCCTCCTCACTGTCCAGGCCCACCCCCTCCTCATTGTCGATCAGTGACTCAAAATTATCCTCCCAGGTGGAAGACGTGATGAACACACACACATTGGCCAAGCCTTTTTCACAGCATTCTGGGCTGTCATAGGCTCTTCAAACTGCACTCCCTTGCCCCTCCCCCACCACTCTATTTGCATCCAAAATTCGAAAAGAAAAAAACTTTAGAAGAAGGTCGGTGAAGGCTGCGAAGCTTTGCCTCATTTCAGACAGAAGATTCTCCAACTTACTGAACAGATGGCAGCACTCCGCACAAAACATGACACAGTCATTAGGAAGAAGTGGTGAGAATGTGAAATAACAGATGAGCGCAATCCTCCGCCGCCAGGAAGAAACACGATAATTAGGACGGTGACTGTTCGAGGCAGCGAGACAACAGACTTTAAAGAAGAACTCCAAAAATCACCTCACGTTTGTGAAGAAATCTGAAGTCTCATCTCTTGCTGTTGGCGCCCGGCCTACCTCCTCACTCTGTGTGGAGTTCCCCTTTAAGAGGACGAGGTATTCCACCCAAAATTACATTTAATCTGCAGAGCAGCCTTAGAGGAATTCATGGACAACTCAGAGGCAGCTGGTCAAATAAATATTTTCATTGAACATCAGTATAGCACGTTCAGGTATTCAGTTCTGACTACTGCATCATAGCACACACATGGGCCCCAGAGAGCCAACCTATGGGATGCTGAGCACACACACACACACACAAACACACCAACCTTGACACTCGAGTTGTCCCCGTTACAGTTCCCCTAACACTAGACATGTGAAATCTGGTACAGCAAGGCAAATGCTCTACTCCAGTCCAGAGGGGTGAAGTCTTATGATAGAAAAAAGAAAAAAGAAAAAAAAAGCGGCAAAGTTGCTTTGTGTATATGCGTAAAGAATTTACCTTATTTTTATGACGGAGGATATAAACCCTGAAACATGTTAAAGTGTTCCGAAACCCACAACAGCAAAATCAGTCTGTATATGCAGTAAAGCATGCTTGTTATACTCACTGTGGAACCAAAGGGGTTAATCCTCTGCATTGTGTAAAAGGCCGTTTGATCCTGTCTTCTCTGCCCCTCCTCTTGTTCAAACGTCTACATCTTATCTCTTGAGAAGACTAACTGAACCCATAGCCATTCTGCACATGCTCAGTTTAGTGTGTATTGCTAGAGAGGTTTTTCTTGGGAGTGTGCATGTGATCAGCACAGGACCAATCAGCACTGTCCAGACAGAGGTCAGGGGTTTTGCATCCTCCTAGTGCAGAAAGGAAACTCCTCCTACAAGCTTTAACCAGTGCTCTGCTGAACACCAATAGGAGTCACAAGACTGCCATATACTGCTGATTTGAAAAGGTATTTAGCAGTTTATATTTACTGAAATAATTTCATTTCCATGTTCTGTGTACTGTGGGAGACCAGATATAGTGAAGGCGGGGTCCGGGGGGAGACCAGATATAGTGAAGGCGGGGTCCGGGGAGACCAGATATAGTGAAGGCGGGGTCCGGGGAGACCAGATATAGTGAAGGCGGGGTCCGGGGAGACCAGATATAGTGAAGGCGGGGTCCGGGGAGACCAGATATAGTGAAGGCGGGGTCCGGGGAGACCAGATATAGTGAAGGCGGGGTCCGGGGAGACCAGATATAGTGAAGGCGGGGTCCGGGGAGACCAGATATAGTGAAGGCGGGGTCCGGGGAGACCAGATATAGTGAAGGCGGGGTCCGGGGAGACCAGATATAGTGAAGGCGGGGTCGGGGGGAGACCAGATATAGTGAAGGCGGGGTCCGGGGAGACCAGATATAGTGAAGGCGGGGTCCGGGGAGACCAGATATAGTGAAGGCGGGGTCCGGGGAGACCAGATATAGTGAAGGCGGGGTCCGGGGAGACCAGATATAGTGAAGGCGGGGTCCGGGGAGACCAGATATAGTGAAGGCGGGGTCCGGGGAGACCAGATATAGTGAAGGCGGGGTCCGGGGAGACCAGATATAGTGAAGGCGGGGTCCGGGGAGACCAGATATAGTGAAGGCGGGGTCCGGGGAGGCCAGATATAGTGAATGCGGGGTCCGGGGAGGCCAGATATAGTGAATGCGGGGTCCGGGGAGGCCAGATATAGTGAATGCGGGGTCCGGGGAGGCCAGATATAGTGAATGCGGGGTCCGGGGAGGCCAGATATAGTGAATGCGGGGTCCGGGGAGGCCAGATATAGTGAATGCGGGGTCCGGGGAGACCAGATATAGTGAATGCGGGGTCCGGGGAGACCAGATATATAGTGAATGCGGGGTCCGGGGAGACCAGATATAGTGAATGCGGGGTCCGGGGAGACCAGATATAGTGAATGCGGGGTCCGGGGAGACCAGATATAGTGAATGCGGGGTCCGGGGAGACCAGATATAGTGAATGCGGGGTCCGGGGAGACCAGATATAGTGAATGCGGGGTCCGGGGAGACCAGATATAGTGAATGCGGGGTCCGGGGAGACCAGATATAGTGAATGCGGGGTCCAGGGAGACCAGATATAGTGAATGCGGGGTCCGGGGAGACCAGATATAGTGAATGCGGGGTCCGGGGAGACCAGATATAGTGAATGCGGGGTCCGGGGAGACCAGATATAGTGAATGCGGGGTCCAGGGAGACCAGATATAGTGAATGCGGGGTCCGGGGGGAGACCAGATATAGTGAATGCGGGGTCCGGGGAGACCAGATATAGTGAATGCGGGGTCCGGGGAGACCAGATATAGTGAATGCGGGGTCCAGATATATGGGGGAGACCAGATATAGTGAATGCGGGGTCCGGGGAGACCAGATATAGTGAATGCAGGGTCCTGGGTTTAGTAACACTAAGCTCCAATGAAGGGGGATATAACCCTGAGCCATGTAGGATAAGACTTGATGAAGGGGGATAAAATCTCTAAATTATGCTAGACACGCCTTGATTAAGGGGGCTATAACCTTGAACCTTGTTGGCTAAGCCCTGATGAAGGGGGATATAACCCGGAACCATGCTGAATAAGCCTTGATGAAGGGGGATATGACCCGGAACCATGTTGATTAAGCTTTGATGAAGAGGGATATGACCCGGAACCATGCTGAACAAGCCTTGATGAAGGGGGATATGACCCGGAACCGTGCTGGATAAACCTTGATGAAGGGGGATATGACCCGGAACCATGCTGGATAAACCTTGATGAAGGGGGATACAACCCGGAACCATGCCGAACAAGCCTTGATGAAGGGGGATATAACCCCGGAACCATGCGGAATAGGCCTTGATGAAGGGGGATACAACCCGGAACCATGCTGGACAAGCCTGGATGAAAAGGGATATAACCCGGCACTTGCTGAATAAGCCTTGATGAAGGGGGATATAACCCGGAACCATGCTGGACAAGCCTTGATGAAGGGGGATATAACCCGGAACCATGCTGGACAAGCCTTGATGAAGGGGGATATAACCCGGAACCATGCTGAATAAGCCTTGATGAAGAGGGATATGACCCGGAACCATGCTGGACAAGCCTTGATGAAGGGGGATATAACCCGGAACCATGTTGAATAAGCCTGGATGAAGAGGGATATGACCCGGAACCCGGAACCATGCTGGACAAGCCTTGATGAAGGGGGATATGACCCGGAACCATGCTGGACAAGCCTTGATGAAGGAGGATATAACCCGGAACCATGCTGGACAAGCCTTGATGAAGGAGGATATAACCCGGAACCATGCTGGACAAGCCTTGATGGAGGATATAACCCGGAACCATGCTGGACAAGCCTTGATGAAGGGGGATATAACCCGGAACCATGCTGGACAAGCCTTGATGAAGGGGGATATAACCCGGAACCATGCTGGACAAGCCTTGATGAAGGGGGATATAACCCTGAGCCAAGTTGGATAAGATTAAAGCCACAAAGTAAAGCAAGTCTGAATGAGAACTGAACATCCATCTTTTTCCTTCACAAGGCTTTGCCCTTCTGGATTGGAGCAGAGCTCTCACCTTTTGCTATCCCATATTTTCTTTCCACTATACATGAGGACCATCTGCCATGTGAGCCGTATTTATCTTTTGACGATTTTCTGGTTTGTGTTTTTTTTTTTTCTTAAATCCCACCCAAGAAATAAATACAAAAAACTGCTGAACTGCAGCCAGAATTTCTATTTTGATGTGGAGCACAGTAGGGAAGCAGCCACTGACTGACTCCATTGCAGAGATCTCCCCTCAGTGTGTGACTGACACCAGGACATGAAATGAAGGACAGAACGGGGGGTTGATAATTACTAGGACAGGACGTGAAAGAAAATCCATCTAATGGGGACACAGCCCTTCCCCGCTTCATCCAAAACAAAGGAAAGACAGTTGTGGCTCCAATTAGACTTTAAGCAAAAACAGCCTAAATTAGAGCAGATCAGGAGGAAAGGACACAGAGGAGGCGGAGCCCAATTTCCACATGTGTAATTATTAAAAGGAAAAAGTAAGAAGCATTTTACATTTTGTTGTGTGCCGAGTGACACAGAGTTCAGTTAATATTTTTCTATCCAAAGACTGATTTAACTGATGGGTCACATAGCGGCACGCCGTCACCATCGCATCCTGAGGATTGCGGCCAGTCAGCAGTGAACGCTGTGGGAATCATTAACAGCCTGAAGAGGAGATTTCCTATAAGGAAATCCTGAGGGGCCGCACACTGTGGAAGAGGCTCACCAGTGACACCACAGCCTGATCCGTACACAATAGGTAACACATTCTCTACACAGTGCAGATTGCGCACAACCGAGCCTCTCCTGTCCAGTAGGGCCAGGTGGGGGGCCGGGCAGAGCTGAGACACAAAGTGAGGACTTACCGCAAGAGCAGCAGGTGAAGCAGTTGGTGTGGAAGAGGTTCCCCATGGCTTGGCAGGCCTGGCTGGCTCCGTACACCCCCTTCCCGCACTTTATGCAGATGCCTGCGGAAAGAGAAGCCACAGTCAGAGCTCCGTCATTACACAGATAACACTCCACCTTAAACATCATCTCATTTCAATGGATGCAACAAGACAGGATATTGCAGTGATCTATTTATGATAGATTGATATTAGATGGGACAATTCCTCTCTCCCAACGCATTGTGCCCTGGATAGGCGCTCATTCATACATTTAGGTCCTGATTGCATGCAAAATGTGTTTTCTGCTTAATAAAGGTTAATGGTGAGCATCTCCTGGTGTCAGGTGGGAAGTTTAAAACTGAGAAAAGTTCACTTTACACCCTGTCGGGATTTTATGTTCTCTTGGAATGACTGCATCACTTCCTGTCCAGGAGACACAAAACTGAAGAAAAATTATTTCTAGCTGTCATCAGAACAGGTGTCACCGTTGGAAGATTTCTCCTCTGTAGCTGTTCTGAGGACACCTATAACAGCATTTCTCATCACTTCCTGTCCCAGTGACTCCAGGACAAAAAGGGGGACATATCCAGCGGGGACAGGGACAGCAATGGAATCCTGTATTTCTCAGGGAAAAAAAAAAAAAAAAAAATGACCACACACTGATGACTTCAGAGTCTCAATAAAAAAAACATTAATATATTCCGGGAACCCACTGATGCATTTCACCTGAATCTATGTCAGTTAAACTTTTTTACTCCAGACAGCATGCACAATAGTCTCTGCTAGGAACCTTTGACTAAATTAAATCTGAACACAAAAAAAAGCAGATCGCATGCACAAAGAAGCCCCATGTGGAAAGCTCACCGCACTGCTGTGTTTCACCTAAACATTTTTTTTTTTTTTTAATTGAAAAGAGACACCCTCAGAGGAAGTCGGAATGACGAAACTCGTCAGCGCGTGACCATCTGACGTCAGCACGCACGCCGGGATCACATGACCGCAGCTGCGGGATGCCATAGTCACAAGAGTGCAGTGAGACTGTCACCTGTTTGAGCGGCTATTTTGAACGTTTTGAAGCTTTTACCCACACAATGTGCATATCTGACTCAATGCGAGTTCATTTTTAAAGGGGGTTTGGGTTAATAAATTTATCAAATGGTATTATACTATGTGGTTGTTTTTTCACTTTGCCCACATATGAAGTTAGAGTATTATTGATCTAGTCTGATGATGAGGAAGCTGGAGATAGATTATCTATTGGATGAAAAGGGTTATATGCCACTCTCGGTTTGATAGCAATCATTGATCATCAAGGAGGCTATTTTCCACTGATGGTTAATCACCAGCATCTGGGGAGTGCTCATTTTGATGGGGTGTGAATCACGGCAAGATCACGGATGATGGATGAAGTTTTCTAAAAGGAATATCTTAACATTCGAAATTATTATTATACAGTATTTATATAGCGCCAAAAGGTTTGCTCAGCGCTGTACATTATAGTGGGGGACAGTACATGAGACAATACAGTAACAAAACAAAACACGAGGGGTTCGAGGGCCCAGAAATGAACTGAACTTTTTTCACACCTGTGCACTTTGGTGGAAGCTTTCATTATTTTCTGTTATAATAATTTGACGATATTTGTTTATCCGGTTTTCCTATTATTACTGAGCGCTGTTGATGAGGACAGACCCAATACTCATACATTTGTTTTATTTTATTTGAAACAGCTGCTCTGCTAGAATCTACACGATCTGCTTAACCGATTATTAATTGTGAGTCTGTTCATCCTTCCATTTAAGCGCTGAGATATAGGTTGCTTTTGCAGCTTATATATATTCATCTACTAAAAAAACAAACTATTACCCTAAGCAGTATACACAAAATCCGTGCCTACTGACGCCTTTCACCTGAACACTTCGACAAAACATTATTCCAGATATCATGCACAATAAAGTCCTGTCTGAAAACCTCCCTGCTAATGCATTTCACCTGAATGCTTCAATAAGAGCAAAAAAAAAAAAAAAAAAAAAAGCCCAGTCTGAGAACCTTGCTGACGCATTTCACCTGAACACAGAATTAGGTAGGTCCAAACGGGGGCAGGGCGGTTTACAAGTGGGGCTTCTTTGTGCAGGTTTTAAATGCTAAGGTCACTGTTGTGCGGCTGATTCCTTCTCTGGGTAATACATGAGGTGTTATCTGATGCCAGCACCTGAGATTCCAGACACTGATGGATCTGGTCAACTTTTCAGCAGTAAAATGCCGACGGGGTCCTAACCCCTCAGCTCTCCATTCCAGAATAAAAGACGACAATGTTGGGCTTTAGACAGACATGAGATATAAAAGATGTGTAGCCTGGCCATTATTCCTGCAATATTCACCTTCACTGATGAGCCCCTGTTAGGGTTACACAATGTTGTTTACATAATCCAGGTTAATGATCGCTCTTCTCTCAGGCAGCTGCACTCCCTCCCTGTGGGTTGTTTACCGCTGATAACGGCACACTAAAGTTTATGGGCGAGTTATCTGTGCCCAGCGTCTCCTTGACATTTGCCGCATTCCTCTCCTATCAGACACGTTCCAGGATGGCAAAGAACTTCACCCCCCACCAACACACACACACACCACATCCACCCGGGTATGAACAGCTCCAGTCAGATCATGGTGCTCATCCCCAAAACCTGTCAAAAGAAAAAAAAAAAAAAAAAAAAAACCACACAAAAATGGCTATAGAATCTCTGGCCTTCCCTTCATTCTTGCAGGAAACACTAGTACAGAAAGTGAGGGCAAATGAAGCATCTAAGGCTCCATGCACACATTTTTTCAAGCTCATAGAAGCTGTTATTAGCATTTTTTTTCCCTGCTCCTAGAAGCTAAATAGTGGTAACCTGTGTGTCCATGCACACTACTTTAGGCTCTAAGCAGTTTTTAAGCTTCAGCATCTCGGAGCAGAAAAAAAAAATGTTTTTGTAGAGGTTTTTTTTAGCGTTTTTCCAGCAGAAAAATAATGCTAAACGCTCCTAAATGCTACTAACAGCTTTTTTCTACATGTACTGTAAAAACGCCAATGCTCCTAAAACTCTATTACCAGCGGTTTTATCCAGCATTCTTGAGCTTTAAACAAAAAAAACAAAAAAAAACACACGCTAGTGTGTATGGGGCCTAATAGCTACAAAGACTGTGCTTCTATGGCGCAGACAGAATAAAAAAAAAAATAAAAAAAAAAAAAAAAATCACTAACACCAAGAGTTGGAGTTTCTCCTTAAAAACAGATCTCCAGGTCAAACATCAACTTCATATCAGTAACACTATAAACCGATTGGCTCCAAAGACATGCTGGTAGGTGAATGGTCTCCTGTCTAAATTGTCCACTAGTATGTGTATGTATGAATGTGAGTTAGGGACCTTAGATTGTACACCCCTTGAGGGTTAGGGACTGATGTGAATGTACAATATATATGTAAAGCGCTGCTTAAATTGACGGCGCTATATAAGTACCTGAAATAAATATTGCATTGCCTATTGATTGGATTCAGATATAAAATTGGTCTACATCCTATCAATGGGCAACTTTTTTAAGCCAATTAGTCTGCATCTGAACGATAGATTGATCTATTGCGTTACCCATTTGTGCCCAATCGACAGTAAATGCTTTAAACCAATCAGTCCACATCCAACCAATAGGTAATGTGGGAAACCAATCAGTCTGCGCCAATCTGATATAGAACACGATAAAACAACTGATTCACAGGTAATGTGATAAGCCAATCAGCCGGTTTCAGATCAGTATGTAATGCTAAACACCGATCAGCCTGCGTTGCGCATTAAACCAATCGGCCAATCAAAAAAGGCAACACGATAAACCAACTGGTCTGTGTCTGATCAACAGATAACTTTGTAAACCATCTTGGCCTGCACCCCATTAATAAGCAACGCAGATAATCAGTTTATGTCTGATCGTGACACACCGATCGGCCTGTGTTCGACAGATAAGTAGCTCAATGAACCAATCTGCCTGAGTCTAATTAACAGGTAACACAATCGTCCTGCGCCCACACAGCATTCACACATTTTTCCTAAGTGTATCCCATCAAAATTCTGTGTGAATCCAGGGTGAACGTTGTGTGAAAACATGAATAAACAGACCCTTCATGTCATTCTGCATCTCACAATCGGCACACCAGATCAGACTGCCTAGAGTTCCCCTTTAGCACAGGCAGGAAGTCATGTGTTCACATTCCGGCAGACACACACTCAGTCCCGTGTCAGCTTCCAGCGGGTGTGACACAACACCTAAAGGAGAATTAGAAGTGGCAGTGCTGCGATGTGTATTTGCTTGTCTTGGAATGCGATTACGGAAAAATGTGGGCGGGCGGGGGGGGCGGAGCCTGGAGATGGGGTGAGAGCATTTGGGAAAATATTTTTGCAGATCAAACATTAACCCCTTGATGGTGGGAAAGACAGCAGAGAATGGCAAAGCATAACAATTTATTGTGAAATTTAAATGAGGGAGGGGGGGGGTGGGGGAGACCATACTGAAAATTGATCGTTCCCCTATAAGGCGGCGATAAAAGATTTCCTAACGCTCAACTCTGCTAATCAGCAAAGGGGACCGGTCACATCGACTTCTAATCCCCGAAAAACAGAGGTCTCAGGTGACTGCCCATGACAAGTCTCTAGAAGGTGCACCTCTACACTGATTTATAGAAGTCACACAATGGAGGCAATTTGCAATACATATACCGTATTTTTCGCTCCATAAGACGCACTTTTTCCCCCCAAAAAAGGGGGAAAAATGTCAGTGCGTCTTATGGAGCGGCAAGTCCGGTATATCCACCGCCGCCGTGTCAGAATACCGGGCCGGCCCCTCAGATCTGCAGTGGGAACTTACCTGTTCCTCTATCCAGCGGTGCGCTGTCTTCCCAGCTTCTTTAGTGTGCGTGACAGCCGGGTCCCAAGTGCGCATGCGCAAGAAGCGGTGCTCTTTGTGAATGGTAAGGCGGTACCTGGGACACATGACAGATCCCAGAAGCCGCTGGACCAATCACAAAGCGCAGCGCTTCTTGCTCATGCGCACTGGG